TGATTGATAAGGGCTGCGGTCCATATAAAACTAAATTTGATGGCTGCGGTCATGATAAAATCCATATTAAACTAAATTTGATTAAAAAAATATAAATTATAAAAAATAATAAATAATAAAAAAGACTGAGACCAGAAGGTTTGATATTTTCTTTCACGATGATTCGAGGACGAACCATAAGCAGGAAGGCCGTGTTAGATGTAAAAGATGTCAATCCAGGTCAGGCGTATGGTGGGAAATTCCTGAGTTGTCATTGTGTCGTCATGTTTTGTTTTGAAAATTTCATCAAGCTGCATCGGCAGATGTTGCCATATATTTTGTTTTTATGTTGATGTGTTACCACAGTATATACAAAAACAATCAGCAGGCTAACTTGAGTGACAGCCCGTGTAATAAAGGAATTCATCTTTGAAATGTCACTAGCGGCCATTTTGGGATACGAAACAGGGCCTGATTAACGATAATTTAGGTTTTTTCTTTCCTCTCACAGAGTCGTATTGGCTTTAAATAAACTAATTTATTATTACTTACATAGTAACATATAATGATATATATAATTACTAATTTATTATAATTATTATCAAATATATAACAATGATAACAGATAACACTATAAATGACAACACGAATAAACTAAAATCACTTGGAAAATCATAACTAAAATTCCGCTTTACACCGCACGCCTATGGCCTCCGTCAGAAATAAAGAAATAAAATAAGATTTCGGCGCCCCTGCCGTTTATTTAATGACAGCGTTATGACAGAATGGTATCCCCTTATGGCGGCGTGCGCAGAAAAGATGCGCGTCAGAGTTAGCCTGCTGATTGTTTTTGTATATGCTGTGGTGTTACCATAATTTTGTTTATATTTGTTGAGTTGTCATGTGTTGTGTACGGTGTAGTCGTAGTTTAGTAGTAGCTCGTCTAGATTTGCATTAAAAACAGAATTGTTCCATTGAAAATAGAAAATCGGCTTTTTGTGTTGTTGAACAAAATCTATCATACATTTTCAGCACTTACTCTGCAGCCTATGATGCAATCAATCCAATCATTAGGTCTTCAAAAAAAAAAAAACAATCAAAGATTGCTTTGATTACGAAAACGTACGTCGCATTATTGTTTCTTTATTGGTCAGGATTTTTGACATGACATTTTGGCATTAAAGTTCATTGACAAAATTAAAGAAAAATATTGCTAGGACATACGCTCGGACATACGCTTAAAAAAACCATAGCAATCTTTGATTGTTTTTTTTTTTGAAGACCCGATACTTTTGAGACCATATAACACTGTTATAGGTACTTAAGTTTGGAAAGCACCCACGCGAGTCAAACAAAGTCAGGCTTACATCATTATTGCCTTTTAAAATTTCCGATGACAAAGCCAATCACTCTTTGCACTCCCAGCAATTTGCTCGGCAAAGGATATGGTGTATCGAGAGTGTCATTCTCGATACACCTTCACTTCAGAATGTTAGCAAAAGGGCCAAAATATTAGATTTCACTTTCATGTCTCATATTTAACTTGATTGAATCGAAATAAGCACCATTTTTCAATCATATATGTATGAGAAAAAGCATTACAATTTTAATTTAATAGGTACTTGAGTAGGTAGGTATACATAAGTATCATATAAGAGTTCTGTTTTTTAAAGTGATCACAGAATAAAATTCAGCAGGTACTTACCCTTTGTTTATTTTACTTTGTCTTCGACAAAATTCGCACTTTCTTGTAATATTAGCTGTGTTACCCATCACAAATTATACATATGTGTAAGTAATTAGGTATACATGAAAACAACTAGTTTGCTTTGTTACCATATAACGATAAAACTTTCTTATAATTTCGTAAATTACTAGAGCAACACGAAATTACTTAAGAAGCAAGATTATTTTAATTATTATCTGCTCAAGCAAATGTTAATGATGGATGTTTCTAATTTAGCCAAAAAAAAGTACATTTTATGAACCTACCCACTTTATATTAGAGAATCAGATCACATTGAAGAAGATATTATTACATAGGTACTTAATATGAATTTCTAAAATAATATATTTTTTTGGTGTTACTTATTCTAGTTTTCTTGATTCAATATTGGATTTTTGTTTGTATAATTGTCTTCAACTAAACCAAAACTGATTTGTTTATTTCAGTATTTTTATAGGTTGTGGGTTCTGTAACACTGATGGGCAAAAATTAAGAGATTCGTGGGCCAATGGTCAATGAGTTTTAGATATAGTTCGCGGTGCTGCCTCTGGTAATTAATTACCTATAGAAAGGTTAATCAAAATCTTAAATATAGTATGTAGGTATAGTATCCGCCAGAGATATTGGAGATTCATACAAAAAAGTATGTTTATATTATCAGCCGGCCTGCATTTAGTCAGGGAGCACGTATCAGGAACCGCTTGAGTACAAGGTTATATTGGCTTGAAATTATTCGTTTTAAATAGTTGTAAATAATGTTCAAAATTATTTTTAAATTTTCTTAAAAGATTTTTCAAATTTTTATTGCAAGTAATTAAGTACTTAATCGAATTCTGCTCCGTGCTCTTGGACTAAATTTATTCCCAACCCATCTGTAGAGTTTTTGCTGTGGTTTTTGTTTAACCGGGCATCGCCGACAAAGAAATATTTTTTTGTAGGAATCTCGAATATCTGTGGCGGTGACTATATATCAGGCCTGGTGTGAGCTATGCGAAAAATTTTTAGTCAGGAACATCCACACCCTTACAATGCCAATCAAATCAATCTTGTCGAGAACTTTATTTAAAATCACAGAAAAAAAGAGACGTTTAATTATATATTGAAAAATGAAATCATAACAAGCTGTGTCATAACATCCTCGAATCCACATTACTGGGTAGTATAAGAAATCTTGACCTAACATAAGTCACCTTTTAAAGTCATTCCGAACAAAATATTCTCTTCTCCAATGTCGATAACGTAATAATATACTTATCTCTTTAACCTCATAAAGCAAAAATTAATCAAATTTATTTTATTATTTCAAATAATAATAAAACTAAAATCGATGCTTGGTCATACCCACATAACAGTGAAAGAACATTTATATTCTCAGAATATTCCCTCAAAGTACTTTTTGGGATGTTCTTTTAGGAATGTTCAATGAATATTCTAAGATTGTTTCGATTGAAATATTCATTTTTGAACGTTCTATTTATGTACTAGGAATGTTGCTTCTATGCACCTACCTGAAAGATTGTACTAAGAACCTACTTTATATAACATTATTTGAATATTCTCATACGAACATTATTATAATGTACCCTGAAAAATGTTCTTTCGGCTAATATCTCTATCATGTATTAAGAATATACCTACCAAGTTGTGCTGAGAAGTTTATGTAGGTAGGTACCCATGATAAGAATATTTCCATATTGTTCACCTAATTATCTAAAGTACCTACTCAAAAACTTAATTGAACAATTAAACAATAATGCTCTATCTAGAACCTACTAAGAATATTATAGGTATATTCTTTTTCTTTTGCTTTGTAGGACTTCCAAGAGAGGGAGCCACGCGCTATCAGATCTACATCTTGCCTAGCGTTTGAATCACCTTGGAACCTGTTTCTCTCAGTTGGCGTGCTTCGACGAGAGCATAACAAGCCCGAAACCGGAGTTTTGGTTAAACACTTTTGTCACTTGTGTTTTCCTAAGAAATTTTCCAACAATTCTTTCACTGCCTTTAATATAAAAGGACTGGAAGGAGCATTATTTGGAAAAGAAAATTAACATTCCAAGTATATCCTTAGAATCAAACAAGAATGTTATGTCTAGGATGCATATTGAGAATGATATATGTAGATATATTCTAAGAATATTTCAAGCATATTGGTATAATATTCTTTTGAGAACATAACTATAATGTCATAGAAACATTCTTTGAATATGAGAATATACATTTCGAGCATATTTTTAGAATCAAACAGGAATATTCTTTTCAGGATGTACTGAAAATCTCATAGGTATATTCTAGGAATATCCTAATGGATTTCCCAGGAAGTTTTTGGGTATTGCAAACAGTATTTCTACAATCTTTTCTCAGAACATTCTCAGGACATTCGCAATGGTTTTGGCGAACATTCTAGGCACATTCCTCCTAAAAAAAGAACATTCTTAATACATTCTAAGGATGCAATTTTGTTATGTGAGTAGAGTAAGAAGGGTGACTACCCACTTATGTAGGTACATTCAAAAATAATTTTAATAAAATGAGCAATTTGATTTCTTTAACTACCGTTTAATGAAGTATATCAGCTATATTTTCTAACAGATAATGGTACTGCGCATAGTATTTTTACATACACTTTGAAGTTACAGACTAATGCTCGTATTACATCTGTGTATTTTTCCGTGTATTTATTCATGTAGTTCAGGGTGGCAACATTTTTTTGTTTTTCATAATGCTGATTTATGTTGCGTTTGAAGTTTTTTGGTTGTCACCCTGAACTACATGAATAAATACACGGAAAAATACACAGATGTAATATGGGCATAAAGATATATTTTCTTTAATAGAAAAAACAAGGGTACCTACCTACTTGCAAGACTTTTTGCGACACCCTGGTAATATTTCTAAGGATGCTAATTGTTTACATTGGCAATCAATTACAAAGAAACTTTGCGAAAAGATTCACATCAAAATATAGCTATAATAGACGACGGTCTTTAATACAAGGTAAATGAAATAATTGGCCAACTTATGGGAAATTTTTGAAACAAATTATTTAACAAAGTTTCCTAAATAAGTTAATATAGCTGATAACCTTTAGGAAAATCATAGATCATTTACTGTAATTTGAAGGTCAATAAACACAATTTAAAATACATTTCCTGGATATTCTTGTCTGTGCCTTGCTACCTAATTAGGTATGTAGGTAGGTACTGTAATTGAGTATCCAATTAACAAAGCAAAACTGTTAACAAACCCGTTGAATATCAATTTGATATTTTTATAAAAACCAGCAAAAACTTACGTATATGCAGAACTATTCTCTGAAGAAGTGGTCAAAAACTTGAAAATTCTGGAACTCATTTTTGTAGACGATTGTCCACTGCAATTAAATGTATCACGTAACTTTGCGTAGTTGTGGAAAAATTTCGGCAGTTTGGTATTTATACCAAAATGAGCGATCATCTTTTGAAAACGCGATAAACAAATGGAATTATGTACATACAAATTGGAAAAAAAAACCTTATCGGTCAATAAAATGTTTTGCTCATTACATTAATTTTGTTTGGGAACATGACTGTACTGGCCTGCATGTAACGTGCCAGTATTTTTATTAATAAAATTATTATTGGTTAAACTCTGGACTGTACATAATTAAGATAAACGAATGGAAGTTTCGAACATCTTAACATTTATTAAATTGCTTAAGGCTAATCAAAACACCTAAAGTGGACTGGTAAACTACGATCACTAGTGGCAAAAACCACTGAGGAATTTATTTATTTGATTTATTACAATCTTTACAGGCCAGTGAAGTAGGAGGCAGAGAAGTAAACACCTTAACTTGTGCTGAAATCAACCCAACTTGATTTATTCCATTAGACTATCTGAGAATATATCTCAGATATATTTTGAACAATATGAACTTCTCTTATATAGACATTACATTTATTGGCTAGTATGTTTTTTTTTTTACTTATAATATGTAAATTTATTTGAGCTAAATAATCTGGATCCTTCATTCCATTCCTATAGACCTACCAACTCTTCTGACAATTCCCATATACTCGTTTACATGTCTATATTTTATGAAAATAATCTTAGTTTGAGTCGTTTGAGGATAATTGCGTTATGATCTATGGAATGCAATGTCAACGCAACGAAATACCAAGTGACGGAATTTATAATGCTGATCTGCTTTAGAAATTTGCAATTCAGATTATTTTAGAAGATCCACTGAACGGATATTCGAACGCACTAGTTACTTCTTTTGATAACACCTATCTATTATTTGTGTGACAGTTTATGAATCGTCCCAAGGGTGACAGAGATCTGAAGAAAGTTGGCAGAATAATGTCAAATTTGTCGTATTTCCATGTACCAATAACCGAAGTTTTCATTATTCTATTAAATATTATTTTCCAACTTCAAGCATGGAACAATTCGCATATACAAAAATTTGTCTGTCACTATCTTGTAATATTCAGGAAGTACCTAACTAATCGACTTCAAAGTCACTATAATTAATTGAAGCACACAGGATACATGCTACATTTTTGGGAGATACTGTAAACTTACTAATTTGTTTTACTATGAGAGTATAATTTTTAACTTACAACCAAAGAAGTTGTGGGTGTTTTAAAATGAAATAAGTATAGGTAGCTGGGGTATATCTACCTATCTGCAAACTTTTCAATTTTCTCGAAAGGTTCCATACAAATTCTTGTTATACTAGACAAACTTCCCATACTAGGCACTTGGAGAAAATAGAAAACTGATGTTTTGAAGATATATTTTATGTTTCAATGGTTTAAAAAGACGCCAACAATACCATTTATACACTCACAATATGAATGCGATCTAGTCTATACTCAATATTCAGCTATCTGTCTGAAAAGTATAGGACAAAAAGTGGTTTTATTGTAATGTAGATCAATAAATTCAAGTAAGTCCTCATTTTTAAGCCTGTGTTGTCAATGAATGGAAATAATTTATAACTTCAAAACTCGAGTGTCCTATATTTAGATCCTGACTACCATTATTGCTAGTGGACAGAATTTTTATTGATTTATTTTTTTCGCCTAGATTAGATGTATTAACCAGGACTTTCCTAGCATCTTTGAAATTACATTGTTCCATTATTAAAAATTGGTTGTCTAGTTGTATTTCTCCAGGACCATTTCTCTTTCAGATTCAAGATTTATTTATGCGAGTTAAAAGTTTTTTTCATCGCTAGTTAGTAAGTACGTATGTACTTTGGTTTAGTGCCTTTGTTTCCATTAATTTTCTCTGTGTTTCTGTAAAATCATGTTTCTCAAATCTTTGCTCAGATACTTTCGACTTTTCCTTCCTTTCATATTTCTGAGCCACTGTCGGAATCTGGAATTTCATCTTTCCTAGATCTTTCCAAATTCTTTTAATAGTTTTAATGTCTGAAGGAGATAATCTACATCGATGAGTTTCACTTGATATTACGTCACAGAATAGTTTAATAATAATTGGCTATAGCTATAACTTCACGCTATTAATTTATCATTTTCCTGGTGAATATAGCATAAACTTTTGATTTTTGCTTGTAATCTGATCTCCACCATGTCTCTGGTGCTACTTATTTTGCCAATAGAGGTTTTCATTAACGCTTATTTGAAATCTGAGCGATCCCCCTGAAACCATAACACTCCAGTTTTAAAAGCAACAGCTCATGATCCACACAATCAAACGCTTTGAAAAGATCACAAAATACCGCTGCAGTTGATTCTCTGCCATTTAAGTCTACTAATACTCAATCATCTTAGAGAGTGTGGATGAAATATAAATTGGCCGAAAATTAGAAGGATCCTCCATATCACCTCCCTCATGCAGAGGCATTACAATGGCCATTTTAAGACAATTCGGAAACACACCTCTTCTCTTGAAAAAAAAATGGTCAATTGCCAAAGCAAGGGCAAAAAGAGCGTTTTCAGGCAAACATAGAAATATTCTCGAAGATAAGTCATCTTCGGAAGAGTTTCTCATTACGTAAATCTAGTTAAAACTTTTTTGATCCCTTAAACATTGGTAGGGGCGGAAAAGAAATAATTATGCATTCCAATGTTAAGGTATGAAATTGGTCCGCATCCGATGACAAGCCAGCATTGAAGGAAGAGGCAACGCCACTATAATATGAATTCAGAGTATTGGAATCGCCAGTTCTGTATTAATTTTCTGGCTACGTCCACTAGAACAGAGCTAATTTATTATTGACCAAGTCTCTCTAGATTTGTTCTTTGCGGAAAAGATGATCGAGTCTATCTGCATAATATCTACCTACCAAACCAAAAATCCTACCTCGCCGAACACTCTTGTCTTACGTGATTCCCTTATCTCTAGAGGAAGCTTGGAAAGGACCGCTGCATGATTAGAAATTCCAGATGAAAACACATTAGAAGTGATATTTGAGAAATTTGAACACAAATAATCTATAGTAGTAGAAGTCGACTTATACTAAGTACGCGAAGCAGAGCCAATGTGCCAAGCCAAGCCATAGGAAAGTAACAAGTTCGAAAATAGCACTGTGTCTATAGGTTATGCAAATCTCAAAATTAATATTTAAGAGGGGCATTTAAATAAAATGTCATTTACAGACCTTCACTAATTCCTGTTCAATTCCAAATTTAGACCACTTTTCAGTGAAATGAACCTATGTTCATAACAATAATAGATTGGAGTAGAAGTTCAAGCATTTTTTGTTGCAAAATACGCATTCTAAATAGTAAAATTATTACCATTTTGTTGACAACAATATGCAAATTTTGGTCACGGATTTAAATGAAAACGGGATAAACATATAGAGTAGCACACCAACAATAAATGTCAAAAATTTCGGATAGTAAAATGCTGGAAAAAATGAATAGAACAGAATTTTCGAAAATTATAATTTTTGTATCACAAAATTAATTAAAATCTGTCAAACAACGAGGTGATTGCTGTCATTTTCAGCAAAGACTCAAACCAAACATTTGTTCAGCGCTTCTTTAAAAGATGTCGCTGAGTTCGGGAAGCATAATAACTTGTTTCAAACGCCAGTAAAAACTGTTTAACCTAGCTAATAATGTGAAATACTATTATTTCATTTGTATCTGAATAATAGTATATTATATACCAAGTACCAAGGTAGAGAAGTTGGTCATTATATACCGAGCGCTTTTATAAACCGAGGCGCGTAGCGCCGAGGTTTATAATGCGTAAGGTATATAATGACTTTCTCTATCGAGGAGTATATAGAATTTTTTTTACTACTGTTAGTAGAAAATAGAAAATTTGTTTAAATCCATGCTCCAATTATTTTTTTTGAACGTCCTCTTGAAAGTGCTGCCCTCTATCAACAGCTTATGATAACTTCCTATGTACCTACAGAAACCTGTATTTTTTTAAAATTGACGTCTGAAATTGAAATTGAACCAATAGAAACATGACAATATCCTTGCGTGATGACGTCATTTTCATTATTGACCTAGGTATTTTTTCATTATTTTCATTATTCACCTAGGGAGAGAAATTCAATTTTTTCCTAGAAAAATAGATTGAATAATGACGATTTCCCAGATTAGTAGAAAAAAAAATTATTTAGTCCACTGTAAATTACTGTGTAAACGAATTGATATTGAAGATGTCGCCATCTACTTGTAAATTAGTCAATCACTTACAGAGAATTTGAACACCTGTGATTAAAAAATATTTAATGTATGTCATAAAGCCCAAAAGATGGCGTGCTGGCTCTTATCTGACGCCCCTCTTAAGTCACTAGTAAAAATAATTTTTGGATCAACAAGTATCCCAGACAATACATAAGCAATCAAGTTTGTCAAGAAATAGGGCGACATCCGGCATCACCACTGGGTGATATGTAATTAACGTTTGATACGTTTACACACACAAACAAACTGAAAACATCCTTTCAGATAAAATGTTGTATGTCACACGTACATTACAGTACTCGTGTGGATTAATATATTCCCCACTCGTCACTGTAAGTGACTGTAATGAAGCTCATACCGTACCAGTAATATAATAGTTATTTATATTACTAGTACGGACAGTACGGTATGAGTTCATTACAGTAATGAGTGGGGAATATTGCCAAGACGAGGTCGTAGACCGAGTCGAGGTAATCACACGAGTGGTGTAATGAGCGTTTCCGTCCGTGTGATATACATTTTATGTTCGACCCAGATTTTTTTCGTGTACCTATTCGAAATGGTTTTAATTTTCCACAAAAGATTATATTTATAATTTTTGATAAATGAATGTTAAAAAGTGCCGTTTTTCAATAAAAATGAGTTACGTAATGAGCTCTTACAGTGTAGGTCGTACCAGAGGCGCCGACTTTTCAAAGTTCTTATGGGTGCAGGATAATAAGTATATAAATTTGTTTATAGGGGGAGAGGAAAGGTTGCTGCAGGCGCAAACTGTGTAAATTTAAATTACATGATACTGATATTAGTCGCAAACTCCTTCACCCCCAG